GTCATCCATTGTTTAGCCTGCGAGAAAGACGGATGGCTTTTTCAATGTGGCTGCTCCTGTAGAGCAGCCCAGAATGTCACTGGGATGAGATGTTACTGTGATTAAGCCCATATTTATGAGTTACATCGCCCTGCCTAATGGCTTCTGAAGAATCCGGCTCTGATGCGTCCGAACCCTGCCGCTCCTTCAGCTTTAATCGATTGGTGTAGCGACTGTAATCGCTGGGCCCCTCCCCCTAGCGGTCGGCGGCAGATGTGTGCAGCTGCTCAGGAGCAGCGCCGGGGGTGGGGGGCGAGCTTCAGAAGACCCCCACCATCCTCCCACTGTATGAACGTGATCAGAATCGGGATTCTTCATTGTTTCTGCACAACTGTACATATGGAAGCGGAAACGGGGAAACAAGAGAGAGCCACGCGAATAAAATATAAGCTGGTTTGGTCACTTAGGCTGGGGGGGGAGGGGGGGATAAGGTTATTATAAGCTAAAATGCAAAAAGCTTTTAGGTGCCAGGAAATGATTCATCAAACTGAGGGGAGAATAACCAAGTATATTATTACAGGAGAAAGTGACTGGTAAATGCATGTGTTGTATTTGTTTAGGCGGGCAGCAGGGGGGGGGGTTAATGACTTCACCTTGATGCCAACAGGCTGCCTAAACTCATTTGATGAATAAACCAGATATATCACATGGTCCAGATATAAGTCAGAAGTGAAAGGTGCTATATCAGAACCTTCACTTATGATATTCGGGGACTTGCAGTCATAAACTGGCCTCCCAGGAGGTCACAGGATCATCGATCCCTAAGCCTCCTCCAGCGGCCGCCAGCCGCCTCGTCTCCGTGACGACGGCCTTTTCTGAGAGCACGATAATTCGAGAGGCTGGAAAACAGGCCATCTGATCCAGGCACTAAAGTGGCGAGTAGACGGGGCTTTGAGGTTCCCGTGGAAGCAGCTCTCGGTGCTTATAGGCATCTTCAGAGGAGGTAATCCAGAGCACCCTCTCAGATCGTCTGATGCTGCTCTTCGTGTCGATAACAAAAACGCGCTGCCAGCACAGCCCCCAGCTCCGCGCCTCCTGCTTTATGGAACTATAGCCCATATCAGGAATGTCCCCTGATCGGCGTATTTAAATCTGCACTATGGATAATCATGTTAACCCAGCATATTTTTAGTTTAAGCTCCCAGTAAATAATGTAGCGGATATTTCAGTGCCAGTACTGACCTGCTAAGTTCCTTTACACTCTCTCTCTCTCTCTCTCTCTCTCTCTCTCGTTAAAGTAGCAAGGCCTTCTGCCCTGACTCACTAGCACCCCCTGTTGCTCTCCACTGGCGATGCCCTTACTGGCCTAGCAGAAGACCACTGTCTGTTCAGATCTGATTCTGACTTGTTTTGGCATCTGCATTCCTCTAGGCGGTGTCAGCGACCGCTTGGCCTGTGTCCCCAGGGGGTCTGTGTCCCCAAGGGGTCTGTGTCCCCAGGGGGTCTGTGTCCTGTCGTCTGTCGTCTTCCTCTCCTCCTTTGCCTTTGTATCGGCTTGTTTTCTGCTGTTGCTTTTTTTCCCCCACTTAGATGTTCAATACTCTATCACTGACACTGCTGTTTGGTCTGTCTGTGATGGCAAAAAACTTCGTTAAGAGCTCTGGGAGATGGGAAAGACGCGAAGTGAATGATCTGGGTGCTCTTTGGAGATTAAACGACTTCCGACAGCTCTGGTCTGACCCTCGTCCATCTCCGACAGCGTGATAAAGACGTCACCAAAAATGGCCGCACCGTCCAGGCCGTGCTGGAGTGCTGAAGCTTCCGCATGCGTGGGCTGCCAGTCCAGGATCCACGTCTGTTACCTCTCTGACAGAAATGGCGACTCCCCCTCTGGTCGAGATTCATTAACCATTTTCACATGGCCTTGTTCGGCACGAGGGGATGGGGAACACAAAGAGGTTGGGAAGACGACTCTAATTAGCGAGATGGATCAAGCCTCAGAGAAAGGCAGCATGCAGGCTGTGCTGTGCGTCTTTGGAAGGCAGCCTGCCAGTAATGTCTGGCTCAGGACACAGTGGGCAGGTGGAATTATTGGAAATGAAACTGTATTTGGCATTTGTAGAAGGTTGTAATTATAATATATACCGGGGGGGTGGAGGGGGGAGTCACCCCAAATATTCCACTGCGCTCACAATGTCCCCCCCAGCAGATATCATAATTACATCCTTTGTCCCCCCCCCCCCCCCCCCCCAATGTTGATACGGTCTTGCATTTGTACGTTTGTATACGCCACGCTGCTCTGCGCTCCATCACCAAGCTCCCCTGAATCATTTCAGTGAATGAATGAATGAACTGAATTTGCTGGAGGGCTCAGATGTGGCTACTCTGTGAAGCATGGGACTCAAACCAGCAACCTTCTGAGGCCTAACCCACTGAGTTGCCCCAGGAGACCTGATGCTCCTGTAACTTTGCCTGGCTTGGTCCTTAGGCTATTTAACAAAATCCCCCCTCCCTCCCTTTCTCTCTCCCCCCCTCCCTCTATCTCTCTCTCTCTCTCTCTCACACACCATGTCTTTGCTTCGCCACTGCTGCCTGATAATTACCCCGCCCGGTAATTATGATGGATCGCGAACACGTTTGGGTAGGCGAGGGAACGTGCCACCTCGCTCATGGCGACTCGCTTTTCGTGCCCCACTCGTGTGCGAATCGATGCGTCCTTCCCATTGATCTGGGAGGGGATGTTTTTTAGGGGGGGGGGGGGGGGTCATCCGTCAGGTCGGACCCACCGCTCCTCCTGTCTCGACAGTCTGAAGGTTACCCATTTTATCAAGTCTCTCTCTCCCTCCCCGTTGCTCGTCCTTCTCCCCCTGACCAATCCAGTAGGAACTTTCTTCACATATCACCACTGATCTCTTTGTTCTCTTATTCTCCTTTTGACTGCCTTGGCCTTGTTGGGTCGCCGACAGTGATGGCAGACGGTCCCTCTATTGAGAGTGAGCTTCCTCTGACCCGTCTGCTAAATCCATCTCTGTAAACGGCAGCCCAGAGTTTATTCCAGACTGCGTGTCTGAGGTCACCCCTGCTTTGTCTGTGGTGGTCAGGTGACACAGACACCCCCTGTCACATGACCGCGTGCTCCATCGCCTCCTACACTCAAATGAAAAGGCTTTTTACCACGATCCCCCCTGGCCCTTGCTCATTCATCAAGGCGGCTGCATGTTAGCATTCATCACCCTGAATAAAGGATCCTTTATCCTCTCACTTCCCTTTTTCCGCCTGAATCCCCTTCCCTCCGCCTGAATCCCCTTCCCTCCGCCTGCCCTCTCCGCTCCACGCCTCTCCTTCCACCCTTTTGTTTCATGGCACCCAAGTTATCTTGTGGGTTCGACCAGCACTGGGATGGACAGCAGATGCCCCCTTACCCCGCCTATCAGAGTCACCCCACCCCCATAGAGATGGATGGCTCCCTCCCAGTCTGGTTCGGTTTGTGGTTGGGTGGAGCAGCTGAATCCTCTGCAGAGACCAGGGGCCGCAGCACCAGGGTCCGTTTCCCACCAAACCGGCCAGCGCTCTGATCCCACTCGCCTGTGGTTCTGACTGCTCAGTCGGAACCTGGGCCCGATCTCATAATGTCAGGTTCAAAGCACGACGTCAGGGGTCGGGGGAGGTGGAGAGCGTACTGCACAGGGTGCCGAGGCGCCCGGCCATGTGTGGAGGTGTGCGTCTCCGAACATGGCCGTGTTTATGATGTGAACAGCACTGGGAGCTGAGGAAGACTTCATATCGCATGTAAAGCCGGGCATTGCTGTCAGACTGTGTCATCTGCAACCGACTGGCTGAGACCTGTTATCTATTTAATTAAAAACAACCAGTCCTTATCACATGACTCAGCTGCCCTCGGTGTTTCACTCAGGAATGACTGTGGTTGTGATCTGACGTTTACAGGATGGATTAAACAAAGCCAAACTTCTGCTTTTATGCTTAATGGGAAATGAGAATAAGCGCAAAGGGGCATCCATGCAAAATAAGAAATATGCTAACTGCAGACATCCGTCGTACGTAACTTTTCCCATCGGATAACGGGAATGGAAAGCTGGCTCTGCAGGTCCCACCCTCGGGGTTGTGTACGGCGAACGATGGATGATGCTGACGGTGTCACCCGGGGACAGTGCTAGCGCCCCCTTTACGGCTCCGTGTTGAGCGTTAAGGGTCTGATGCTCTGATTAGAAATTGATTTAGCAGTGATCGCTTCTGGAATGAATGAGTCACACGTTCGTGGGAATCAGAGTCCGTCCGTCGGAGGTGGTGGAGTAGGAGGTGCCTGCCCCCCCCACCCCCGCTCCAATGACATGCTGAGCGCTTTGGCTTCAGTTCCCAAATCTCCTTCTGCCTACACCCCCCCCACCCCACCCCCCCGAAAAAAAGGACATTTTAGCATTACAGCCATTCACGTGCCTTTGTGCCTCAAGGCTTCATGTTTGAAGCTCCTTATGGTACTTTACCAACAGGGCAACAGGGAATTTCATGCTGTACTTTTGTGTGGGTATTTCATATGGCCATTTCTCCCCCAAAATTAAGCCCCCAGCAAACCCGGCAAGTCCTTAATGAATCCTGGTCTGAGAGATGTCCTGAGTGTGTTGGTATTTGTCTACCTGTCCCTGAATGTCCAAGATCTATATTTCACCTTCATAAAATCAAATGTTTACATACCAGTATAAAATATTTCATACAATTATTGCGCTGAATGAATGTGAATCAGTCTGACCTGGAACAGCACTCATCCAGATGTTTGTGGGCGGCCTGCCTCCCAGGGTCCCACTGCCTGTCAGGTTTACCAGCATCAGCAACACACATGAACGTCTATCTGAATATGCAAGTGGACCTCATGTTTGAACAGGGCAGCTGGATTTCCACAGGATGTTAGCATAACTAACAGGAAATAGCTAAAGGTCCATTATGAGAGCGCATGCAAGGCATTGTGGGTATGGTGGAGGTTGACTGTCCTCTCTTCCTCCTCCCAGCAGCTGGTTCCCGCACATGATCTACCATGGACAAACTGCTGCACAGTCTCCTGCTCCTGGGTACAGTAGTCACGACGGCCCGCGCTTGCCCCAAGTACTGTGTCTGCCAGAATCTCTCCGAGTCCCTGGGCACCCTGTGCCCGTCCAAGGGGCTGCTCTTTGTGCCACTGGACATCGACCGGCGGACCGTGGAACTCCGGCTGGGGGGCAACTTCATCATCAAAGTGACCCAGCAGGACTTCGCTAACATGTCGGGCCTGGTGGACCTGACACTGTCACGCAACACCATCAGCTCCATCCAGGCATTCTCCTTCGCCGACCTGGAGACGCTGCGCTCGCTGCACCTGGACAGCAACCGGCTGACTGAGATCGGGCCTGATGACCTGCGTGGCCTGCTCAACCTGCAGCACCTCATCCTCAACAACAACCAGCTCAGCCGCATCTCCAACGAGGCCTTTGACGACCTCATGCTCACGCTCGAGGATCTGGACCTGTCCTACAACAACTTGCAGACCATGCCGTGGGACGCCATTCGCAAGATGGTCAACCTTCACCAGCTCAGCCTCGACCACAACCTCATTGACCACATCACTGAGGGCACATTCACCGACCTAGACAAGCTGGCACGCCTCGACCTCACGTCCAACCGGCTCCAGAAGCTGCCGCCAGACCCCATTTTCGCCCGTTCCCAGAGCAGCGTAGTCCTGGCCACACCCTACACACCCATGCTGTCATTGAGCTTCGGGGGAAACCCCCTGCACTGTAACTGTGAGGTCCTGTGGTTGCGTCGGCTTGAGCGGGAGGATGACATGGAGACCTGCGCTTCCCCTCCCAACCTGAAGGGGCGCTACTTCTGGTATGTCAGGGAGGAGGAGTTCATATGCGAGCCGCCTCTCATCACCCAGCACACACACAAGCTCCTCGTGCTGGAGGGCCAGACCGCGAGTCTGAGGTGTAAGGCTGTCGGAGACCCCATGCCGGTCATCCACTGGGTAACCCCCGATGACCGGCTCATCAGCAACTCCTCACGGGCGACAGTGTATGAGAATGGAACGCTGGACATCTTGATCACTACATCAAAGGACTATGGCACCTTCACCTGCATCGCGGCAAACGCAGCTGGGGAGGCCACCGCCTCCGTCGAGCTGTCCATCATCCAACTCCCGCATCTCAGCAACGGAACTGGCCGCACCTCCCAGCCCAAGTCCCGGCTCTCCGACATCACCAGCTCTACCAAGACCAGCAAGGGAGAGACCAAGACCGTACCTGAGAAGGCCGTCTCCGCATCAGAGGTCACTGCCGTCTCCGCACTCATCAAGTGGTCAGTCAGCAAGGCGGCACCCAAAGTGAAGATGTACCAGCTTCAGTATAACTGCTCCGACGATGAGGTGCTCATCTACAGGTAAAGTGGCTACCTGGGGTCATTCTGTGAAAACAATGGAAGGCTACTCGTCTTTTTGACACTGTCTCCTGCTGGTTCTTCTGTGATAACACAAAGTCACGTAGGATCTATAATTCACAGCACTGAATATTATGTCAGAGACATTAACAATCCATGAAGCAGATCCTTCAACATTGTGCAAAGAGGGTTTTAAAATGAATGTGGAAACCAGCCAGCAATGGAATCCAATTACTGGCTGACTTTTACTTCATTTATTAATTTGAAATCTTCAGAATGGCTCTTTGTTGCTACGGGTTAACCCTTTAATAAAAAGGCACCATTCAGCCCTTCACACGGATGCAGTAGATGTGGCACTGTGATGTGGTACTGTGATGTGGTACTGTGCCTTTATGATCAGTCTGCTTCCAAAAACAGCTAGAATGTCGATGCTAGTTATTTCCCCAAAGACCAGAGAAATGATTCCAAAAGCAGACAAGTGAGTCATTGTGTGTTAGCAAAGTCCTGACACAATGTCAAATATCAAATGCCATTGTTATCACTGCAAATTACGATCAAGGGGAGACCATCTGCGTTCGGGAATGCTGTCAGAACAGCGAGACGGCCTTACAGACTCACTGTGGCTGGCTGGCTGCCGAGATACATTGTCCATCCCATTCGATCTTTTATTTCAGCGTAGCTGAGAGAGATGCAGGGGTACAAAGAGGCTTTACCCCATGGGATATTCAGATGAGTGCCCATGTGGGCAGTAGCCAATCAGATTCAGGGGCAATTTCACATTCCAACTTTGCCGTCCAATATCAAGGATAAATGCTTGGCTGGCACAGACACGTGGCTGAGCCATGTCCCCGGGTACAGCTTCCCGGCCAAGAGCTGTAGGGCTTGGTGCTTTGCCTGTAACTCACCTTTGCTCCAACACATGTCTGTAAACAGCGAGAAATGTCACATTTCAACTGTGTGTCAGCCCGCAACCCAACTACAAGTTTACGTTCATTCAACAAACATGGCCGACGATGTGAACGATGTTTAGTGACACATGCAAAGGATCGTTTGTGCTCCTCTACCAGCTCGGCTGTCATGTTTATTATATCCATATATTTAAATATCTGACACCTAATTAACATCCCGCAGACTGTGAGGGAACGCCAGCTAACATTTGCTACAGTTGCTCCATACAGTCTATTGAGAACTGCTATGAATGCGTATTAAGCAAATACATATTCATTTAAACTGTACTTAAATACCTAATAATCAGTTGCTGAGTGTTTACAGCGAGTGCTGTAAGCTGCTTGAGATATTGGCGCAGATGAAAGCCTGTCACATCCCCTGGTGAGGCGTGAGGTCCGAACCCGACATGCCAAACTTCTGCTTGGGCCAAAGTGGATCATTCGGCAAGAAGCGCCAAGAACTTTCTCATGACATACATTCCGATTAAGATGAAAAATAGAATTCTAACCCTAATGCTGCATCATTAGGAAACCCAGTGTAGGCTCTATTCATCATTCATTGAGTTTATATTGGAGAATGGAAGTGGAGATTTTCCTAACTTTCCCCCCAAATAGCTCATCTCCCCGAGGAGGAAAAGCCCACAGTCAGCTCAACCCCCCCACCCTCTCCCCGCACCCCCATGTAATTCTGCTGTGTCCTTTGGGGTGTTTCTTATCCAATGAAAATAGGTTATTTATCCCTTACACAGGAGTAACACAGACTGGTTTATTTCTTAAATAATATAAATTCAAGTTCCAATCTCCTAGTGGGATTATGAATGAGACTTTCCTACTTCTGCCTTTTTGGCACTATATCAGTGACAGACTGAGGTTCTGTGCAATCCAGAGATGAAACGATAGAGTATCTTCCTTTAAAAGCTCAGATTTCGAGGCAGGGGCTTGGGAGGGAATGTGCCTGACTTACTGTACAAACAGACTGTTTACCCCCCCAACAAAAACAGCGGCCTTTGTGGCAGTGATAGCACATGAGAAAACAGTGTTTCAGAATGAGCCAGAAATACCGCAGTATCATTCCAGGGTTACAGGTTTGATTGTCAGTGTATAATCGAGTCTGTATGTATCCTAGCCAATCTGGGATGTTTTTGCAAATAGCTGTTTTGCAAACTCATTGTGGGAAAGCTACAGACTGTGACAATGTTAAAATTTAATGGGGGGGTGCATTTTCAGCTCATATTGGGGATGGGGAAGCTGTCAACAAATGGAAGAAAAACAAAAGGTCAGGTCTCAGATCGGACCAGAACTCGGTTCTGCTAACTCTCCCTCCCCCCCCCCCCAATGGTTGCAGGATGATCCCGGTGACAAGCAAGGCCTTCCTGGTGACCAACCTGGTGTCTGGGACGCAATACGACCTGTGTGTGCTGGCCATCTGGGACGACACAGCCACCACCCTCACAGCCACTAACGTGATGGGCTGCGTGCAGTTCATCACCCGGGAGGACTACCCGCGCTGCCAGTCACTGCATGGCCAGTTCCTGGGTGGCACCATGATCCTGGCCATAGGGGGCGTCATCGTGGCCACACTGTTAGTGTTCATCGTCATTCTCATGGTGCGTTACAAGCTGTGCAGTGGGGGACGCTCTGGCAAGCTGCCCAGCGTCAGCACCAGCTGCTCGCAGACCAACGGGGGCTCTGCCGGCGGCGGCCGCAACGGCCTGCCACCCCCCCCCAAGCCCCGAGTGGTGGTCCGCGATGAGCTCATGGAGTTCAAATGTGGCTCGTTGCAGAGTAGCCGGTCCTCCTCGTCCGGGTCGCTGGGCAGTCAGGAGGGAAATATGGGTGGCCTGCAAGGGGATGACGGCGCCCCCTCTCGCAAGTGGAGAACGGCGCCGTCCAAGGCCCGACCCAACCTGGACCACCTGCTGGGTGCCTTTGCCTCACTGGAGCTCCAGGGCCAGGGCAGGGACCCAGGGCCCTCAGGCACGGCGCCCACTGCCAGTCCGCGGCTGTCGGACAAGGAGCCCCTTCTGGGCCGTGTGGACTCCAAGCTGAGCCGGCTGCTCACGCTGCCCCTAGAGGCCAAACCCAAAAGGAGCCACTCCTTCGACATGGGCGAGTTCACCACCACGCAGTTCTGCAGCTACCCCAGGCGGATTGGCAACATCTGGACTAAACGGAGCCTCTCTGTGAACGGCATGCTTCTGCAGTACGACGAGGGGGGTGCGGACGGGGGCAAGGTCACCTTCGAGAGCTCCGAATGGGTCATGGAGAGTACCGTCTAAGGCCCCGCGGCCTGCGGCTGGGTGGCACCGGAAGACGGAACTAAAAGCGCTGGTCAGACAGGGCCACCTCACTCTTGTTCTGCATGAAGTTCATAGGTGTGAATACTGTCGTCTTTCTGTCATGTGGAAAAAAAAAATTAAACACCTGCCCGAAGTTAGCTAGCTGGCTACATGTGGGCGTTCAGAAAAGTATCCGGATATGTGGTTTACGGGGTGATCACAATGACAGGAAGGGATATGAGAATATCACACAAAATTACAGAAACAAATATATTCCTTTCGTTAAGGAAAGGATGGTGGATAACAAGAATAATGTGACTCGGGAGTTGTGGAAAGACTTCCAATAAAAATAGAAAGGAAGCCATCAGAAAGGTGCCAGTATGTCAGCTGACCAGCGGAAGAACATACCGGAAGCTCCGAGCGGATTTGTCTCCATGTCCGTGGGGAAGTGTGACATGAGGCCGGGATTGTCCCCCATGATCGGGGAAACACTTTTCACATCTTCGCACCCAAGGAGACTCGGCCCTTAGGGGCGATATTTTAAAATACAAATTGCGTGTAATGAATTACATTTTTTTTATTTTTTTATTTCAGAGGTCAATTGTACATTCGTTTAGAGATTATTATTGTAGAAATAATCAGCTTTTTTGCAAAACAAAACAGGAAGTGGAGTTTGTACCATTCCTCCCTCTCCCGTTCTGTGTTTCACACATACATTTCTCCATACACCACATAATACATTTACATTTTATTCTATTTGTCTTCCCATAATACTCTTCCATTTATCAGTCATTCAATAACATCTCTGTACTATAATTCACTGTAACCACATTTGTTCAGCCTAAAATGAAAAGTTTTATTTTCCAAACCACTGACTACACAGCGTTAGTCCCTCCTCCTGCAGAACTCGCTTCTTTGTAATGTGAAGCGATGCTATTGGATGTGCATGGATTAAGTCGCTGGTCATTGTCACAGAAACAAATAGGAGCGGTGAGCTGAGGTCCCCCACTGCTAAAAAGAAAGATTTCCCAGCCACTGCACGCTGTTTCGTTCGCGTCTTATTTAAAGCCAGTGGTTTTAGTAAAAAAAAAAAAAGTGCCGAAATCAGTCCTCAGCTGTCCATGTCCATTAAGAGACAAAGAGAAGGGGGGGGGGCATTTATGGAATTATTAGACACAAAAATGTCTTTCCAAATTATCACCAAATTAAATATTACATTTAAAATATCATTATTTTTAAAATTATACTGATCACAACTGTGCTCATTACTCTGACCAAGATAAGTGTTTGGTTAAGATGGCTGGATCAATGGACGTTCATTCTAAAGGTCAAACACTACAAAACGCAGGTCTTTTTGGTCAAAAATCATGCATTGTTATTTGATTTCACATCGATTCATTTCTATATTCGATTCTGGCTTTCAATTCCAAGTTACAAGGTCACTCCAAGGTTACTCCAAGGTCACTCCACGGTTACTCCAAGGTCACTCCACGGTTACTCCAAGGTCCTTCCAAGGTAATTTGTTGATTGCGCGGCTTAGTTCCGCGTCCTCTCTGACCTACAGTATAACCCTAACCCTCCTTATGACACACCCATGTGGGGATCGTTCATGGCCTGGTAAAATTCACTCTCCTGCTGTCTAACCATACATTTTTTTCATCATACTCCATCTGTTCCTTATCAATGTACTTTTGCCATATTTTGTACTATAAAATCAGTGAGAATGTACCGTGCTGGGAAACTGGACACTAGTACTTTAACGTTCTTGTTCAGAGAAGGTGAGAAGGTGCGTAACTATATTGTTCACACATTTGAGTGCACTTGAGCCGACATTGTCATGTTTCTCAGCTGAGGTTGTAGGGAAAAATGTTTCTGTGGTCAAGCCTTCTTTTTTGCTACAAAAATGATAAATATGAAAATTCCTAAAACATTCCTGTGTTTTATTATCCTGTGTATTATTGCTCATTTCACGCCAAAGGCCTGTTTCTCATATGTTATCTTCATGTCTGTTCCTTGCCTTTTCTGAGCTTTTTAAAACTCTTCAGTGTGGATCTAAATGCTTCTGTTGTAGGGACTGTTAAGTCGTAACCCCCAGGCAGCAAACCAAGCTGTCAGCGTGAGCTGAGCTGAGCTGGGCCGGGTTTGTGGTACTTGGTACTTGGGGCCCCTCTCAAAAAGTCACTTGGGGGCCCCCAAACTCCACTCAGAGGTTTTGAATGCCGAATGAATAGCTAGCCGGTAGAGTCAGAAGATCATAGCTAGCTTCCACATCTCCTAAGTGTTTATTTAATATTCAGTGTAGTGACTATTTGTGGCCAATTGGGGGCTCCATGCAAATGAGTTGTTTGATAGGTGGCAAAAACCACTCCTGAGCATGAGTCTAGACGGCACCCGTGCATTTCCACGCACTGGCTTCCAGGATATAGCTCTGCTGGGATTTGAGTTCAGCGGGAAGTGTGCAGTGCCTCTTCACACGTGAGCTAAGGGCTAATGTCCAGCATCAGGTTTCGTTGTTGATGCGAGGACCGCACGTGAACTTTCACCTGGCCTTGCAGCAGTTTAGCCCTCAAATCCTTGAAAGATGTATGTGTCCTCCGGAAAACCAGTGAGTCTCCCAGTGTACCTTCAGAAGCTAATTGCTCAGAAGCTTCCAGAAGCATAACAAAGCTGCTTTGCCCTCCCTGTGGATATAACCAGCCTTTCTCAGTAATTCCAATCAAACTGAAGGATTGAAACTGGATAATTGTGGTTATGGGAGCAGGGTCATAACAGGGTAACTCCCAGGGCATGATGGGAGCCATGATTAACTGGGGTGATCTTCAGCATCATGCACCAGTCCTGTTGAGTGGGCCATAGTCAACCAACCTGAGCAATGTCCTTGTTAGAAAACAGGAAGGTAAGCCATTGGTCCCAGCCGAGAACGATGCATTAATTCATAAAATCTGTCAGAAAGGTGCTGAGCCACTGCACATGGTACACACAGTGGTCTCACGTTCAGTGTGCAGCTTCCAAAGCAAACCAGAGACGGCTAGCGAAGCTGGTCATAAATATCAACATCAGGCCTTGGTGTGAAGCTCGGAGCTGGGCAAGGCAGAGCCTGACGCATGCACATTTGGAGCTAATACTTATGTGTGCATCTCCTCTGGTCCTTGGCCTACATCAATTTGGGAAATATTGAGCAATAAAGTTACAACTGGTCATCTGTATTCATATTTTGGTAGATGACAAATGATCTATAATCTATTTCCACTATCAGCTGTCATTCCTGATTTATAGCACACAGATTCACCTGCGCTTGTTCTTATATAGCAGTACCACCCCTTAGCTAACTCTTACTCTTAGCTAATTCCCTACCTCACTTCACTCTGTCAAGCAGCCAAACATATCTACCTCCCCCACCAGGAAAGCTAGTCTTAGCAATACTGGAAGTGGACCATACTTCATGCTTACCTAATAATATTTGTTCAAATCTGTCATGTACCTTGTCTAAGGGCCTTCAGAACCACAGACAGCTATGACTAACCTCTCTGACTAACCTCGACAACCATGGACATCTGTGTCTGTCACTGACCTCGACAACCATGGACATCTGTGTCTCTCATTGTTCTCGATAGCCACAAACAGCTCTGTCCCTCACTGACCTCAGGACCATGGACAGTTCTTTTCACTGACTTCAGCACTAAGGACAGCAGTCATGCCCAGTGTCTTGAAGACCATGGGCAACAGTTTGTTCAAAAATTTAAGAACAGGTGAATTGGGGTCATGTCAGTGCAAGGCTAAGCAAGACTTAAAAGCAGACATGCTGGATTATAGGGAAATTAGATTTAGCATTGAAAATAACTAACCATATGTGCTAAATAGATAGAGAGTTTTGGTATCCAATTTTGGTTATTCTACTGTCTTTTGGTTCTATTACAGTGTTCTTACTTGTGTTTATTGTAATAATGATATGGGAGCATATCATCTTCTAGTCTTTAAAAATGATGTTGGAAATCTATATCACAGGGGGTTACTGATGAGAAGCAAAATCCCATTAAAGCTGATGCTGAAACCATACAGAAGATGTCAGTCTTAGAGGCTTAAAATGAGAGGAAAGACAGTGGATGAGAAACAAGTGTGGGAGTTTTTACAGAATCCATCGCTCTGAATTACAGTCAGCCCAAGCCGCAAACCGGGGTAGACCTGTTATGAAAGGCACCTTTGTTAAAAATACAAATTGAAAATGTTTAATTCTCTCTGTCCTTTAAGGCTTCTGCATAGTGTGATTCTTCATGGAGATAGTGATTCAGAGCTTAGCAAAAACCGAAACTAATGATAAGGTTGAACAGGTTTGGTTTAAAATCTGGGCTATAATTAATTCATGCGCCTTCACAGCACACTGTCATCAGGGTATGCATCAGGAAGAGACTGGCAGCCCTATACATGTCACGTGTCCATCATCATGCCAGCAACATGCAGAGAATCCAGGTAGCATCGTGGCTGCCTCGAGCCTCACAGCATCACTGCAGCATGTCCACGGAGCGTGATTGTTAATTCAGAAACTGCATTATATTCAAAGGCATGGAATAAACACACTAGTTTCTTTGCATTGAAGCAGAAATGTGCAAGAATAATGGAGAGGGGAGGCAGGATCCATGCCTTTTCTGAAATCCTCAGATGCTGAGCCAGTAACAAACACAATCCATCTGCAGCACAGCTGAGAGCTTGTTACCAGGGTGACATTGTGAAAATGCTAAACTTGCTTTATGAATATTACATCAGCCCATCTTGAGGCGAGAAATTCCAGGACATTCGTTCCCCGGAATGCAGTTTTCCGTGTCCACGGAGGGCGGTTTTTCTTACAGGTGGCATGCTTTTGTGGCACCCTTTTGGCTGTGGGGGGGGGTGTGTCGATGCATCCCATGCATTTAGAACTGCACTGATGCATCCCGTACATGAAGAAGTGTATGGATGCATCCCATGCATTATGAACTGCAATGATGACCATACATGAAGATGTGTAGTATTACATTCCATGTATGAAGGTATGATTCTGCATCATGTGAGGCATCCCATGCATAACGGGGTGCGAGAATGCATCCCATGCATGATGGTGTGCAAGAATTCATCCCATGTATGATGGTGTGTATCCCATGCTTGCCTCTGTAACTGAAGGAACCGATATTCTGTCCCAGTAACTGTTATAAATATTTTATGTGACATTTTCAAACTGCAAATGATCTGGGCAAAGCTTTACATCCAGCTTTACACTTTGCTCTTTAGAATTCAGTTAGACTTTTCTTACATTCTCATGGTCTTTGAATATTATTATATTTTTTGCTGGATATGATATTCCTGGAGGAGATCGGACATGAACCAAGTCTAGGGGGGCGTACAGACATTGGTGGGAAGCCACACCGGTGCTGCTGAAGGTTCATTAGGTGGGCAGTGGTTGGCCTGTGACTTGTGCCCTGGCAAGGTCAGCGCCCCCTAATGTTCAGACTGATGGATGGCTGCCTCATTCACTGTGATTTCATTTAAATGCAAAGTCACATCTTGGAGCATTTACTGTAGTATCTGTGTCATTCGCTGCTACTGACCACGTCTCTGGCTTTCTGTTAAATTAGGATCAGGCACCGACCATTACCACTAGTGAAAGGTAACGTGTATGCATTTAGACACGGGGCTGAGAGCCACGAAGAACTCTATAAACTAGTTTGGGTTTCGTGGATCACAAGGAACTGACAAACTATTGTGAAATCTGGTCTCTTGATTGTTCACTCAAATTAAGTGTCAATGACCTTCTCAAATATATTGATCTCCCTGCCTGTTTAATTAGGTTTGTATTGACTTTGATCCATTTAATTAAGAACTAAAACTCATTTTGTCCCTGATACTACAGTCATTTGAGATGCCATTAAGGGCTGAATATGGTGCATCAGTATAAATCCGTGCTCCGGGCCACAATTGAACCATTAAATTGTTAGTGGGAACCATGTCAATGGCCAGGAGCTCGGGACGATCCTTCTGTTTCCACAGCAGTTTTAACTGTTGCCACAAGGGGGCGAAAAAACACACTTTACGAGTCCTGGCCGCGTGCCCCCCAGCAGAGCAAGAGCAGAAACTGACATGACCCCTCCCTGAAACAGGAGACACATGCAAGCGTGTTTATTGGTGGAGACAAATCCCACCTCATCTGAGTGCTATTAGATGCACCGGAATGTTTCTCCTGCTGTTTCATAATTGCATAATCAATTTGCATACAAAATGTTGATAATGCGCTTTCAGTCTGAAGCAAAATATCATTAGTGTACCGTAATGCTGAGGGATGGAAAAACTGACCCCAGTGTTACGCGGCATCATAAGAGAGGAATAGCAGTTTTGAATGTGTTATGATCACTTTTATGTCATATACAGCAACGTGGACACTGTCTCCATTTTGTCTCACACACAAAATGCGCGCAGCCGGAGAGCAGGACAAACTGAGGGCGATTAGCAGGATGAGCTGCGTGCAGTGCTGCGTGCAGTGCTGCGTGCAGTGCTGCGTGCAGTGCTGCGTGCAGTGCTGCGTGCAGGCT